ATTTCACCACGAACACTATCACCGTGTGTTAGAGAATCAAATTGGTAAAGGCATACCCGTGTTTAGAGGTTATAGACAGAAAGGAGGTGGTCTAGGAAGTATTCTGGGATTTATCGGTCGATATGGATTACCGCTCATTACCAAATATATTCTACCTCATGCAGCGCCTGCAATTATGAGTACAGTATCTGATATTACAAATGGTCAATCAATTAAAACAGCCCTAAAATCCAATGCTATTAAAATGGCTACAAAGTTTGGAAAATCTATTCTTAAACCCCAAGCAGGAGCTGGATTAGGTTCTAGAAAACGAAAAGCTTTACTAGGTGCAACGTCAGAAGAGTGTAAGGTGTTGCACGAATCACATCACTCGTCCAACCCAAAGAAATCTAAAGCTTCATCCGTAAAATCGGGCAACAAGAGAAAAACACCAACTGCACCTAAGAAAAGAAGATCAATTTTTAGTAAACGGGATATATTTGGATAATGGCATTAATTAACGAATTCTCTCAACCGTCTATTACGGGGCCAAGTAGAGTTATTTGGTCTTCCACCTACAGACACAACGGTTGAATCCAGTTTCTACGCAGAATATAAACCTGTTGTAAATATACAAGATAACGATGCAAAAATTGATTTTCGAATTACTGGAAATGCATCGCAATATCTTGACTTGTTTGACCATTTCTGTTATCTTAGAGTAAAAGTTGTTGCATCGGATGGAAAAGATTTACCAGCAGCAGCAGAGGTTAGTACTTCTAACTTATTTATGCATTCCCTGTTTTCGCAATGTGATGTTAGTATAAATAATCAACTTGTTTCAACCAGCAATAACTGTTACATGTACAAAGCTTATTTAGAAACAGTTTTGACATACGGAACTGATTACATAAATTCCCAAGCGACTTGTCCACTATTCTACAAAGACACTGATAATGGATCGCTGAAAGATACTAACACAGGCTACCAAAAAAGAAAGCAATGGATTCAAGCCTCGAAACCGGTGGAATTAATTGATGAATTAAAATTTGACCTTGCTTATCAACATCGATATATTTTGAATGACACAACAGTTACCATTAGCCTAGCCAGAGCTGTTGAAACGTTTTCCCTTTTGTGCGGGGCACTTGCTTCAGGTAGTCCCGCGATTAATCCCAAAGTAAAATTCCTTGATGCGAGTCTATTTGTTAGAAAACATGTTTTATATCCTAGTATTGTCTTGTCTCACCAAAAGTTACTTGAAGGAGGGCATAGTGCTCGATACCCCTTCAAAAAATCAGAAGTAAAATTTTTTTCAATTCCAAAATCGTCACAATCCTTTATCGAAGAAAACGTTTTCCTTGGTACAATCCCAACTAGAATTGTCATCTGTCTAATTCCGAGTAAGGGTTTTGTTGGGGATTATGACGTTAATCCTTATGTATTCCCCATTACAATCGTAATTATATATCATTAAGTGTGAACAATGTTCCCTATCCTATTAAAGGTTTACAACTTGATTTTGACAGTGATATTAAGTTATTACCATATTATTTACTGTATTGTTCTCTTGGAACAGCAGGACAAGATCAAGGTTTGACTTTTGACAGAGAAGAATTTTGTAGTGGTCAGACATTTTTTGGATTTGACATTAATCAGTCTACTGGGTCAGATTCTGCACTACAGTTGGAAAAAACGGATGTGTAAGAATCGAATTAAAATTTGCTAAGGCACTGCCTGAAGCGGTAAATTGTTTAGTTTATTCTGAACATTTTAAAATCTTGGAGATTGACAGATTTAGACAAATTTCTGTACAATAATGAATTCTTTACAACTTCGATATGCCTTAATCAACTCTATGAACCTTTTCATAGCTGTTTGTGCCAAAGATCAGTTAGATAGTATTAATTCAAAAACGTTTGCAATTATTAGTAATAACCAATTTTCAAACGAGGCAGGGATGCACTTGTTAGCTTTCTACAAAGAAACTGAATCGTCTGTTCTGAGAATTTTTTGATAGCTTTGGAATGCCTTTTGGTTTTTATGGAAAAGAATTTGAAGATTTTGCATTAAGAAACGAGAAAAAGGTTAGACAGTCATCATCTCAATTTCAGTCAAATTCCAGCAATCTGTGTGGAGGGTATTGCTTATACTTCTTAATTAATCGAAACCGTGGCTTGTCCTACGATAAAATTGTAAATAAATTCAACTCAGAATATACTCTTGTGAATGATAAAATAGTATCAAACTTTGTAAAAACAAACCTTTACTTTCCAAAATGTTCCAAATGTGGAATCGAATGTAGCGGAAAATGTGCAAATAGTCTCAGCGATATTTGTATTCAGAAAAATAGACATTGCGTTCGGATATTTCAAACAATTCAATCATGAAAACAGACAAACTTTTGAAAGAAATCTACTTTAATCCAAAACATATTGAAAGTTTTGGTGGACCACATCGGTTATCTGCAGCACGGGAGTATCCCTGAAGGATGCTGTAACTTTTCTACAGCATTATGAAACATATACAACAAACAAATCTGTGAAGCATAAATTTTTTAGACGTAAAATGACTTCCCACGAAGTTGATTATTGTTGGCAAGCTGATTTAATAGATATATCAAAATATTCAAGATTAAACAAGGGAACAAAATATTTATTAACGGTAATAGATACTCTAAGTAGATTTGGTTTTGTTAAACCTCTAAGAAAAAAAGATGGAAAATCAGTAACAGAGTCTTTCAAGGAATTAATCCTAAACTCAAATCGGAAACCAAAATTCATACAAACAGACGAAGGAAAAGAATTTTGTAACAAACAATTTTATAATTTATTAAAGGAACAAGACATAAAATTATTTCATAACCATTCGCCACTTAAAGCAGCAATGGTCGAAAGGTTTAATAAAATTCTGATGACGAGATTACAAAAAGTTTTCACATATAGAAAAACAAATGTGTATTATGATATTTTACAAGAAGTAGTAGATTCATATAATGAGAGCAAACACAGAATTATTGAATGTTCGCCTAGGTCTGTCAACAAGTATAATCAGATGGATGTTTGGTTTCGGAGTAATAAAGATGTTCTTATGATGAAGCATCAAAAACCGAAATTAAAATCAGGAGATTTTGTTAGAATTAAAATAAATAAAAGGAAAGGCTATTCCCCTACTTTTACAGACAAGATTTACAAAATTAGCGAAGCTCATAACAGCAAACCTATGACATATTCCATAATGGATAATTCAGGGGAAAAAGTGTTAGGAATTTTCTATCCTCAAGAACTATCTAAAGTGTTAACCTAAGCTATTTACATGCAAAATTATTTGAAAAATGAAAGCGGTCCCCATTTCCGCTGGTGCGGAAATGGGGACCGAGATTCATCAGAGAAATTAAAAAAAAACTTCGCGGATAATTTTTTTAAAGGATTGTTTCTGCTTTGAAGGTAAACCTTGGCTCAATTTTAGCGATTTGGTCGGTTTCACTGTTTTGGTCGCATGTGACGACCTCCTCGTGTCGAGGACCTCGACGCGGCCGTGACCATGAATTTTTAAGCAATGAAACCTGAGCTGCGTATAAGTTTATCATTGACACTAACAATAAAAGTAGGGACAAATGATCCTCATTCATGAACCCAGATACATTCCGACCTCCCCTCGTACATACGTATGTATGCGTATGAGCGTATAAAGACGACTGGTTCGAAATAATTCCGGTATTTATAATTCCACCCCCACCCCCTCTCAAATCCATCCCGATTTTAAGCATCCCCAATTTTAAACAAGCCAGACGATGTGACCTTGTCACCTGCATTGCTAATTTTCTAACCAGGTGTGTCCAACGGGTCTCAAGTTTCAAGTGTTACTCAAAATTTATCAGACACACAGACGCACGAATACAACGACCTTGTGTTTAAGCAGATGGAAGGATGAACGAACTTATAATTTCAACCCGTAAAATCGTAGTATTTTTGTATGCAAGGCATATTTTTAAGCACGGCCAGGATACGAATAGTTTCGGGTTTTACCTAAAATCACCACTACCAACGGAATTTTGCTGGTTCACAGTTTTACAGGTTAACTCAAGATTTTCAATTAAACGATGAGCCGACAAATATTTAATGTGCACATTTTAATACCATAGACTAACAATGCAGATGTGTAAGGTGGTTATCTCTGATTCTAATTATTTTAGATAGTTCACGCTAACAATTAAGCGTACATGTGTTTTACGTTTTCTAGGATTTGCGTGCTTTCGCATGTGGCAAAATTTTAAAACAAATTTTTAACTAAAATTTGGATTTTTAAAAATACCACCACTCATCGAATTTTGACCGGTTTTCAAACATTAAACAGAATTTTTGCTCAGATTGCTTGCTTGAAATTTAAAAAATCCCTTAAAAAAATTAAGACATTTTGAAATTTTCATGTTATTGCAAGACCAGAAAAAAGTGATTTTTATTTTTAATTAAAAGTTTTAAATTAAAAGATTAAAATTGAATATTTCTACATTCAGGGAAACAATTAGGATTAAAAATTGTTTTTTCTGTTGGAAATTTGGATAAAATTCGAAAAGAAGCAGCACTTTAAAAAATTCAAGTATCTACAATTTTTTTAAAAATTTATTTTAAAATTCCATCAAGGCGAAAACTATAGGCGAAAACTATCAAGGCAGTCTATAAAACACAAAAATATGGGATGGGCTTATTTCTGAGCGTGAAAACTAATCCCCTCTAAATCGGAGATGACCACCTTGCACGTCTGCATTGTTAGTCACACTGACCCGCAAAAGTGGAACGTAATAAAAACCGGATCACGTCGGCGTTTAAAAAATCCAACTTGATTTTATTTTCTATGCAACTAACCAAATAAGTAAACCCTCATTCATACAAGACGCGATATTTGCATACATATGTAAGTTTATAAAACAGACTAATTGTGTCTATGCGAAAAAATACAAGTCAACTTTTCAGCCAGTATAAAAAGGAATGAGAAAATTGCAAAAGTTCAACACTCGTTAAGTGAGATCGTAATCAACCTCAGGAAAGTCATGATGTGGAAGAAAGGAAATCTGGGCCTGGTATGTATACAAATAAGTGCACAGATTATTTTTTATTTATTTTTGGAATGTTCGCTGACCTCAAAGTAATCACAATGTTTTCAAAATTTAAAAAATGTGGTATTTCATGTACATATTTATGTACATCTGTACATACTTAATTATTATAATTTATGTACCAACTATTAAATACTTTCAAGCCATTTTATGTCAAGATCTTATTCGTTCGTCCGTCTGCCTGTCGCACCGTGAACAGGATAAGACGAGAACTCCTCTTGAAAAATGTACCTCTCGTCAGATAACCTGTCCCGGGGTTTGGCCGGGGGCAAACTGAGATTTTTCCTGAAATTAAATCAATTCATTAAATGCAGTGAAATCAAGTTTTCCTGCCCTTCGGTGAAAGTGGCTGGGGTGAAATGACACTATACAAACTCGATGGTTGAGGGAAAATAGAATATTTACATTTGAGTAAAAATAATTAACTTCTCTCTTCCATAAAAGTTTTCATCCAAGCTACTCCTTAATTTTAATTTGTAATCTAAATAAATTTGTTAATCCGTGAAAATTAATGTTTCCAAATTTTCAGGTTCTATTGACACTTGAATTTTTGCAACATTGCGCCGGAAATTCGCTTGAAAAGAATCAGAACCTAGGGAACTGGACGAATCGAACCTCCAGGCAATAGAGGTGGCCCTTCATTATTTATGGCGGGTGTTAAGTAAAGTTTTCGTAAATATGTAGATGTGCAACTCGGCTTTAATGTCAAGTGTTAAGCACATAAGGCTTGCCCACTAAGTGGTCGGACTATAATTCATGAAATATTTATGCACCAGTGTTAAAAAATTGTCAATTATGACATTTGAATTAATTAATCGGATATACATTTCAGCTCTCCATTCCCGCCACCCCCACAATGGGGATTCCCGTTTTGGAATGATGGCGCCACTCCGCAAGGTGAAAATTATCTTTTAGTTACATATTTCTTTACACTAAAAATGATCAGAACCGGAATTTCCAGGGACACAATAAATTTGTTCTTGTTAAAATCATTTTTTTCTAATTGGAAGAATTAAAATTTTTGTGGGCATTTTTTAAACTTGCTGTACTTTTATAAATTAAAAAACTGGGTTGTAGAGAAGAAAACCTGGGAATCCATGTATTGCCGCTTGTAGGACTTCGCCATCTTTGTCCATCTTTGAGAAATACGATGCCCCATTTTCGGTTTGTTGCGACTATGGTCCGTCGAAGTAGAACAAGTTCAGCTTCGAGCAAAAATTAGACTGCAACACGAGCAAATCTTAACAAAATAATTTTTTTTGACTCCCTCGAAATTCCGGTTTTGGTCATTGCTGCTCCAAAGCAAAGCTAGTAAAATATCCTAAATATGTATATAATAATACCATGCTCATGCAGTCTTGAGGTACAATTTACATAAAAATGATCCAATTGACCCCTAAAGATTAGGCCTCCTAACCTTTAGAGGTCGAGCACAGTGGCCGCGGAAGATGATTTTGACCGTGGGGACATACTTTTCGAAAAAAAACGTCGAAAAAACAGGTTCTTGATTTTGTAGTGTACTGAGATTAGCCGCTCTGGTTTTCCTGATTTACGTTCTAAGTCTTGCAAAAAGCCGTTATCCATCAAGAGTTCAAGTGTTCAATAGTGAATTTTTGGGTGCGTTCATTTTGATCCGCATCAATTTTGCATAAGATGCAATTTGTATGTACAGGAATTGTAATGCAATTTGAAGGTATTGTTATAAATTGTAATCCGTCTGAAATGTTTCCAAAATCACCTCTGCTTTGAAGTGCTCCATGTAGGAATAGTCGTTCCAAGGTCTTGAAAATACTTCAGCTTGAATCAAATAACTTTAACACCTTGTCTGAAAATCTTCCTATATCTTATATTATTTTTCCTAAATAAAAGAATTGTATATTTTTAATTATTTCAATATAATCCATAATATTAGCATAACTACAATAGATATATAAATGAAATTCTTTATAACATAAATATCTCCTCCAGCTTGTGTCCTTTTGGAAGGGATCCTAAAATGGATGCTACATTCCCTCTTTGAACAGTAATACTCATTCTCTGCAATAAAAAGGATGTCGCCCTCTTCTCTTCTGTGATGTTTGTGATTCTGGACCCGATTACTTTAATAAATGACAAGCCATCTTTACCCCAAATCCCTGTTGTTTCGATGGCTATTGGGACAAAAAGGAAACTGTCCATAAGTTGTTCATATCTTTTCTTCTTCCGGTCCTCTGCTTTCTCAGCTGCTACTCCTGGGCGAATACTAGTTTGTGGGAGGTACGATGGTGCAAATGTATCGGAACACGTGAAGTCCCACACTACCGATTTTCCTCTTGCCCATGGAATAAGTGTGAGACCATCTGGACGTTTCCCAGCTTCACGGGCACACCCGGCTGGCTCTTTAATTATAGGGACTCCTGCAGATCTGAGGGCTCTGGCGATGATATCGTTGGCTGCGGCATGACGGGAGTGACGTCCAGCACTATTTTTGCAACTGAGACCATGCTAGCCTTTCGTGGACACTTGTTCACCACAAGAACATTTGTGGGGCTGGCAGATGTCACAGCCTAGTAGAAGAGCGGCGGCGATGCGAAACGTCTCATTAGGAAGATGTGTGCCGAGTTGAGGAGAGGGGATAGCGTTGAGCCACGCTCCAACATTGGGTTGTGACATGGCGTGATAGCGGGCTTTGTCTTCTAATGTAGTCGCATTAGTTGTGAGGTGATTGATTACACCTTCCTGTTGTGGTATTTCCCATATTGCCTGGATACCTCGTATCTCGAGTGGAGGAAGTGGCGATGAACCAAGTGATTTCCAGCGTTCCTCTCCTTCTTGGATGGCGGTATCGATGCCATGTAAATGTGGTGGAAGTAGGCGTTCCGCAAGAGGCAGGGAGCTATAGATAGACGCTAGAAAGCACGGAATCGCCACATCTGTCTGAAAAGAGGTTAACCTTTTTCACTTAAAAACGTCATATGACGTCTTTCAAAACATGTCGCTAAGAGACCAAATACATACGTCATAAGGTGGATCTACTAAATAGTGGATCACTTGGTGCGTTTAGTAGCGAAGTGGTCAAAAATAGGTTTCAAAATCTGAAAGTGATGTGCAATATGCCAAATATATCTAACCACATGCCACAAAAATTTCATAAGTTTTGAATGGAAAATAAATTTCGTACACGATTTCAAAGCGAAGAAGTTGGGAAACAAGTTTTGGATAAGTACCAGAATTTCATTCACAAAGACTCGAAGAAGACCTGAGTACATTTCAACGGAGTTGGGTATTGCCGTGCAAAAATCAAGACATGCATAAAAAAGTATGGAGAATCCGAAAATGTAAGCTTCAAATAACTACCATTTGAAAAACCATCATATCGACCCCTCAAAAGTTAAAAACGATTGAGCAGTTTTTTGAAAATGCTCCATCCACGTCGGTGCCTGACGCGGCCATGAAGTCAAAGATTAATACAAACCACTTGTACCATATTAAGGCCTATAAAATGGGGGTCAAAGCGTATGTAAAGAAATCTCCAGCAAAATGTACGTGAACTGAAGAAAAAATGGTAACGGCACCAACTCTGAAGCTGTGCAACAAAAGTTTACCAAAAAGGTTGGTCATTCATGACGAGTCCTACGTCCTTAAAAACGCGACAGAAACTCCGGAAAGGCAATTTTTAATGGCAAATGTGTCTCTCAACTGAGAACCGAAGAGAAATTAAAATGTTTTTCGAAATTTCTCAAAAAATCTCAGGTTTGACTGGCGTTCTTTAAATTTGGGCGTGTTCTGGACCCCTCATTTTAGAAGGGCTGTGGGGACGCACAGGTTTGTTTTCAGAAATGTGTGATAGTCCGTCTGATTCCTTTCATCAATGAGTATCAAAAAATATAAATCTTATTTCGGGCAGAACTTCTTTGAACCCAGCCAAAAACGTGGTTGTGTTTCTTGAGTGAGAGTTTCTTGAGTAATTTTTAAGGAAGCCTTCGAAATCCTAATCCCAAACCGTTAGTAGTTTGTGTAATTTGGCAAAATCATTACAAATTTCCGATGTAGAAATAATTTTTTGGTATTATTTTGTATTGCATTTATTTTGTATTTGGCATCATATTGTGGGTATTCACGTCACTAAAAAACGTCGCTTCGCAACACATCTTCGCAACTTTGCGGTGTTTGCGAAATCGGTATCGTGAACGACTTATTTTATATGAAAATGCGTAAATTGAGTATTTGCAAAAAATAATTCATTTGGCGGAAAAGTGTAAGGTTGTGTGGCAACATTTCCAGAAATGAGGAGAAATTAAAATTTCACTTGGCGACGAGTTTGCAAAAAATAGTTTACGACGATAATAGATTTGCTTCGCATGTTTCGTAAAAAAATAAAAAAAATCTGATTGGTTGTCGCGTCGCAACTCTTCGCAAACATTGCAAAGTTGCGAAGATATTTTGCGGCGTTTACGGCTTTTACGAATTTGATGTGAATACCCACATTGTATATACATAGGATAGTATATTTCGAAGAATATTTTAGTATATTGGCGAAGCATATATGTTCAATATGCATTTTCATTGATCTATATTGCCCACCACTGCAAACTGGAATGAATATAGACATAATTTTCAAATTATAGTCTTCTTGGATCCATGTTTTTTATCTATAAATTTGGCCCTCACGAGACCGTGGGGACAAATGCATTGACTGTCCCCACGGGGAAATTTCCGTGGGGACATTGTCCCCATGTCCCCACGCTTCCGCGGCCACTGGTCGAGCAGATTTGTTCCACTTTGGAATGCTAACTTCAAATTATAACCGTCTTGAAACAAGGACGACGAAACCTACACGAGTACGGGCAAAGACTGAAAACTTACCTTATAAATACCACTAGGCCAAAGTTTTGAGTTTAATAAATGCCACGCAATGCACCTAAAATCATAAGTAATCCATCGTTGTGTTAAATTCCGCAGAGTCACGACTCCAATCTTTGTCTCCGGTCACTCAAATATAATCCAGTTGATACATTCAAATTTGCACTTGATTTTGTCATGTAATTTTTCAAGTTATTATTAATTTACAGCATACCTATTCTGTCTTTTTAAAGTTAAAAAAATAAGTACCGTAAATACTCTATTTATAGCCGGGTCTTGAGCCCAAGTTTGAAAAATTTAATAAGCTTATCCGTCTTTACATGTATGGCATTCGTTCAATGCCTGTTCTTAGATGCTTCAAGTTATGAATGACTAAAAATAATTTACCCGGGTCTCTAATCATACCCGGTTTGAAACTATAGTAGGATTTGTGCCGTCTTTGGACCCAGCTATAAATAGAGTATTTACGATACTAATTTTTAAATTTAGGAATTAATAACATTTCCCAACTAAATAAAATTCCTTCATTATGCATAGTACCTTCCCAAGGTACCAGATTCCATCGACTGGAGAACCAAAGGTGTGGTTGGTCCTGTTAAAAATCAAGGTTCGTGTGTGTCCGCCTGGGCATTCGCTGTGGCGGAGGTAGTCAAAATCCGCCATGCCATAAAGACCGGAATATTCCTCCCCGACCTCTCTCCACAGCAACTGGTAGACTGTAAGAGTAGCATGGCAAAAGTATGTATATACAACTATCATTTTGAATTAATCTCATCCCAGGTGACACATCAAACGTTGGATGTGGGTGGGGGGGCCTTGCGCACTCAGCCTTTCAGTATGTTCAACGTTACGGTCTAATGAGTTGGCACGACTACCCGTACGTCGATGAAAAACAACCCTGCGCCTACAATGCAAGCAAGGTGGTAACAAAAATAAATGGGATCGGGGTGCTTCATAATGAGTATTACATGCGGGATGAAGTGGGGTTGCGTGGTCCGGTAAGTATATGCAAATACTACATATTATTTATGTATATTAACCTTAACCACTTTTATTTAGCTGTGTTACCTGGCAGCCAGATTCTGGCTTGCATTGTATTTATTATTTTTTTGGAAAATTGTCTTTGTTCATCGTAAAAAATTTGGAAGCAAAAACTTTTAGTATTACCTAACCCTGTTTTCTTTTTGTAGGAATTGTATTATTTCAGTTCCACTGGTAAACAAAATTCGTTTCAGAGCAATGAAATGCATTAATTTACAGAATTTTTGACATAGCATGAAGCCATGCAACTATTTATTTCCCTCAAACTGCAACTCCACACGCATAACTAATTCTAAACAGTCTTGAAATACTTTAGTACCATTGGGATTACATTTGTCCGAACGGAGTAAATATTTACATATGTCTGTGACTCTACCGCCACGGTAATAAATTTATTATTCGGTGGTAGGAATGTGTTGCAAAACGGCTAATATTTTTAAATCCGCGGATGGACTAATTACTAGGGTTGCCGCGGGTAGCAAAAATGCTACCCGTTACCCGACCCGCTACCCGCAGCACAACTACCCGTACCCGCACGGGTACCCGTGTGGGTACCCGTTACCCGCTACCCGTTATGAGAATTGGATAAAAACAAACAAACCTTCAGAATAAATTTGATTTAATCAATTATTTGCTCATTTAGGTTGGTTAGTAGTTTGAGATATGTAATGCTGTGCAACTAACGAATGCCATAATTTGCTAGATGTCATTAGCTGTTTCTGAAATCAAATTTTTTGGCTTTCAATGGAACCTTTTTCAAGCTCGACCGGGATTTCTTAGCTATTAATATCAAAAAATCAAGCCAACGATTAGGAATTATGTATGCATCACTTACATATCTATCTTTCTTTTGAATGGCCCATTTAAAAAAACTATTGGGGGTCAGAGTTCAGAGTCCATCATGGTGGACACCGATGAAAGACCGGTGAAAGTTAAAAATTAAACTTTGCCAATATTTTCTTCAAAGTGGTCATTTAACGGAAAGATACGTATCAAGCGATTCCTAATTTTTGACTTTACTTCTTGATATACTCGCTAAACAAACCTGGTATAGCTTGAAAAAGGGTTAAACGTTTAGTTTGATTTTTTTGTAATTATGATTTAAATGAAGTTTTCATTAAAAAAATAACGACAAATACAATTTTTGCTTTGAATCGGATTTAGATTTTTCATATTCAAACCACAAATTGAAATCACCTCAGACTTACATAAATAGACACAAATTTAACCCTTTAACGTGTATGATTATCAACAAGAAAATGCATTAAATCGGGGACGCTATAAGTATGTTGTGGTCATGAAGCGGGAGGAGAAATTCAGGAGTTTTAATAAAACTCGAAAAACTGAAAAATCAAAAAGTTTAACATTACGTTGTATAGAGAAATATCCAAATTTTCGGGAAGAAAATCTTCAAATTTAGTATTGTGTTGGCATAGGAGAAATCCCTCAAAATTGCAACAAAATTTAGGTCGTGGAGAGAAAATGATGAAAATCAATGACCTCGTAGAAACGACAATTGTCGTCCTTCCGCACCATGACCACGATTTTTCAGACGACTTTTGTCGTTCTCCCGAATTAAACCATCTACTATAATAAAGTGGTAGTATGATCCCTGGCTCCGTGATGCGATGCAAGCTGCCCCGTAGAGGAGACAAAGAAAGAAGCGGAGCCACCACTGCATGAATAAATGCATGCATGAAATGTACATGCTGCTACCTACTGCATGAGTCTGAACTTCGCCTGCACTCATCATCATCCATCAATAGTGGTTATCATGATAAGTGATCGTGATAAACACTATTAATTAATTATTTTAGTTTGAGAAACTTCACCCACAGCGTGTGGCATATCAATTCGAATGTATTTTTGACGCTAAATCCAATGCCGTCAATGGTTTTAACCTCCGTGGCCCCCGTGACCTTCCCGTGACCGTGGGGGCTAAATATGGCTTATTCGTGATGTCGCATATCAATTCGAATGTATTTCTGACGCTGAATCCAAATCCGTCAATAGCTTGGCGTTAATTGTAGAAGTTAACGGGGTTTATGGAACTTAACGGGAGCGTGAAGCGTCGGAGTATAAATAGTTAGCTATGTAGTTACTCCCACGCGACGGGAATTTAAGTAATTAGCTATTCAACTACTCCCATAGGGGGAAATCAAATTGTACTGTGACCAGGTTAATTAACATGCAATATGACTTGGGCAAGCCCTCACTCTGATGTATGTATGTAGTATGACAAAGTCTCCACTGGGAATTATTTAAAGTATAGTATGACGGATTTTTCGCTTTGGGCATACCCCCCACTGGAACTCTAGAACCTGGCCTTGGCCGGGCTATACGCTAGTTTCTTATAAAACGACTATTGTCGTCGTTACGCTTTCAAAGGGGTTTAAGCCAATTTATTACTGATGTTAGAGGGCAGACAGATTCTACTTGAGAATAAAAAATTTCTTTGCATTTGCGGAACGTGAAAAGTATTTGCGGCTGCGGTAACTTCTGTGGCTTCCGAAAAGACACGCTCGTTACAAACGTTTGTTGCTGGCAAATTGCAAATTTTGAAATGAGTATATAATAAATAGACGCTTTTGTTGGTAAATGGACTAATTTGCTGCTAACTTTCTTTGTGAACTGATTTACGTCGAAAATTAATTAAAAACCGAACTACCCGTTACCCGTGCGGGTAGTTCCAGCTACCCGCAGATAACGGGTACCCGCAAGAATCATGCGGGTATGCGGGTAACGGGTACCCGACCCGTTACCCGCTGCAACCCTACTAATTACTACCAGTCGATAAGAAAATATTACCTTGGCTGTCGAGTCATACATATTTACTCACCTGCTGATAATATGTACTTTCTTCCCCGATTATTTAGAGTTCAGCCTTACAGCGATATGTTTACTATATCGCTTTGAACAGATTGTTGCATCACTCAATATGGCTAACCTAAACTACTACAGGAGCGGTATTTTCGATTACCCCAACTGTGGAAGCAACCCTACTCAATTTCTAATAATTGTCGGGTAAGCTAAATAATTTTTTTGTGGTATACATAAATACATATTTATGTAAATAGTTAATCATGGTCATTGCTCATGTGCATAACTGATTTTGTAGATATGGAAAAGAAAACGGCTTGGATTACTGGATTCTTAAAAATTCTTGGGGCCCAGCTTGGGGAGAGCATGGGTATCTTAGAATTAGCAGGAATAGAGGCACGTGTGGAATCAACTTCTTAGTTTCTTTTCCGAAGGATTGACGACTTGAAACTTTTACATGAACGCCCATGTTTACCAATCATTTACACAAATCGGTGAATAAATTTGGCACTAAATCTCGTTTTACATAAATGACGACCGATTTTGATTGCTTCCGTTGGATTAGTGTGTTTTCCATCTTGCTTTCTAATCTTATTTTTAGAAGCTATGGTCAGGAGTCTTAATAAATTTCAAAATCTAGACTTTGGCATGGAATGGATCCTTGAACATAGATTCATATAGAAGATGCAGAGTAATAAGAATGTATAAGCCACATTGAAAAGCCGGAACCAATAACAGAGGACGGCAAGGTTTTCGACCCCTCCCACCCAGGACAACTCTCAAATATCGTCTGTTTGATCTTGTTGTCACAATAAAAGTAAATTCCGGATTCTATCACCCTCCTAAGCTTTGCAACCTCTGATTTCGTCACCCATCCATAGTCTGGTAATTTCTAGTAGATTTTCTTTTGCATTACATGGTCCTCACTAACTCTGTATAAATGTCGTGTAGTCTCCGATTTATGACCGAGAAGAAGGACCCAATTTCTCCGTTGTTGTAATGTATTATGAATTGCAAAGGCAGAATAGTCACATCGACTTAATAAGCTGGTCAATTCGGTTGGATTTTTTATATGCTTAGATATTTGGACAATCTTGGAGTACTTCCAAAGAGAAAAAATGGAATCAAAACAGTTTCTTATTTTGAAAAATTCCGAAATTTTAGACATTTGTGTGGTATTTAATTTAGCTTGACAATAATTAAACCGCACATCGCAATTCTTCAAGGCGTTCGTATTCTTTATCTTATCCTTGTAGTCAAGTATTTCATCTTTCTTCGCATACGTCAAGTTCAATCGTGCGATGCATTTTAAAAAAACCATACAGCTTGTGGTACGTTGACCCAGGCCCGTACCGACGATGCTTCTAGGTGGAGCGCTAGCTCCTGGCCGTACGGCCCGGAGGGCCGTACCGGCAGGCCCTATACACTAGATATAATTGTCGTATCACACGCCGCAGGATAAATGCATATTGAGTGTGGAAAAGTGTATGGCAGAGGTGCTTCATGTGCGAGGCCGGATGTTCCTAGTCAACGATTTAACAATTTTAAGCCCGAATCTACTCTTAAGGGGATTGACCTTTAGCTAATGACAACTTTGATATGTGCCATACAAAATATAGGACTAAAATTTCAGACGTACTTCCACGAATTTATAATTAAATAAGGTTGCCCCGAAGTAGTGATACCCGGCTACCTGGTACTCGGCCTAAAATTTTTGCCGGCTACCCGGCCGGGTACCGGGTAATATTTATTTACATATTAAAAATAACGGGAATTTTTCTACTTTTATCAAGAATTTGTCAGGAATCACCTTACGACAATGTCTTATTTATCATTGCAATAATTTTACAATTTTGTGCGGCTAACAAATTTGTTTCTTGAAGGGATTCAAGATTCCCCTCACGAACCAAATTTTGCGAGACTTTGGAAGTGATATCATGCGAATCCATAAAGAAGTCTATTTGATCTTATCTTCATTAATTTTCGAAATTTCGCTCGCTGATGATCGCGAGTGCGCTCAAAGTAATTTTAAAATCTGTATATAATTTCCACATAAGCATTGTCCAACGTAGTACCCATTCTTTCCAAATACATTATTTTATACCTAGTACAAAAATGTAATCCCTTGGATTATAAGTTTTTAAGGTTTTGCATTTCTGGTAAGAAAATTGAATATTTACAGATAATTCTTTGATTCGAGCGAAGACACTTGTCGTATTATCTATATTATAATTTCGAAAAGTCCGTCCCGCCAAATTTTCCGTGACATTCCTGCATTCTAATTGGTTGCCGGCTTCCCGGCTCCACCAATCACAGCACGGTTATGATTTTGGTTATGATTTCGGTTATGATTACGGTTATTATTTCGGTTATGATTTCGGTTATGATTTCGGTTATGATTACGGTTATCATTTCGGTTATCATTTTGGTTATGATTTCGAGAATGGTCAACAAAAAAAATTCTTAACAAATTTAAGAAAATCCTTAGCAACGTCAAAAGAATTCCTTAGCAACGTTAAAAAAATTCCTTAAGAACGTTAAAAAATTCCCTTAGCAATATAAAAATATTTCCTCAGCAACGTCAAAAATTCGACTTAATAACCTCAAAATATTCCTTAGCAACATTAAAAAATTTCTCTAGCAACGTTAAAGAATTTCTTTGGCAACGTTAAAAAATTTCTTTAGAAACGTTATAAAATTT